TTGAGGCTTTTTTAAAAAACTGCTCCTCCAAACTCTTCCATTCTCTACTCATCTCCCAATTCTAAAGCTGCCTCCACATTTTCAGGTATAGTTATAGTAGCAATGCCACTTTGGTACCAATTTTCTATATTAGTCTGTTTTTCATTACTGTAATGAAATACCTGAGGCAGGCTAACGTTATGAAGAAAACTGGTTTATTCAGCACTAGAGATTTAAGGACAAACCACTGGCATTGGTTCAACTCTGATGAGAGCCACAAGGCACTGTGGCAGACGCATATGCAGGAAGAATAAATCACATCTTAAAACAGAAAGCCAAAGAATAAATAAGTCAAGTTTGTTCTTAACAACAGCTTGCTCTCACAAGAGCTTCAGAGTCCCACAGAACTTACCTTAATCCTTTCTAAGCGCAGTTCCCCAGTGGCCTAAGGACCTCCCTGTAGGCCCTACCACTTAGAGGTCTCACCATTCTCAGCACCTACCACACTAGGGACTAAGATGGACCTTGGGGTTTGCATTCAAATCATGCCCAAACCATAGCACAAAGCATATACAGAACTCAGCTTGCTTCTGAAGAGGGTGCCTACTGACTATGATGATCAAGAAAGCAAAACTTAAAAGTACCAAATGGTTGGATGTGGTAGCTCAATAGCAGAGCTACACACCAAGATCAAGAGAAAAAAATATATATAATAGCTGATTACCCTTGATAATAGTATAAATGAAACTCTAGTTATTATGGCCAGTCATTACTGAATACCTAATTAAATCCAACTCACATATACCCAAAGAAAATTGGTTTTGATTATTCCATATATGGACAGTTAGAAAACAGATGGTAGAAATTACTTATTCAGGTTGAATTAGTCTTGAGAGGCTTATAGAAGAGGTGTGTATTTAGTAGATTTGAAAGAAAAACTAGACACAATTTATCAAAGTAAAACTTGTTGGAGGGTAGTACTAAGGGGGAAATACATATGTAGTTGGGGAGTGGTAGAAAACAACAGCAACAATAAAATTACATTTAAAAAAAGGAACCAAAATAAATAGCTAACAACTTTTACATGGTAATATAGATTTTGCAATGTGGGACTATGGACACATGCTATATTTATTACATCTCATTCTTCTAGAAATGAGAGATAAATGGGAGTACAGTTGGCACAATCAAATAATTTTTTGCATAATTACTTTGTGCCTTGTATTGTGCTCTACCCTCCCAGATATATTGAAATATGAATTTTATAACATTTGGGTAAAGTATTCAATTTTCTGAGATTTAGTTTTCATTTTTTATTTATAGCCTTATCTCCAATGCTTCCAGTACTTTCTGATACATGGTAGGCACTCAGCTATAGAAAAAGAGAGAGGCAAGGAAGAAGGTTAGTTTACTGAATAAATTAATATTTTTCACAAAAGGTCTGGCATATAGTGGGTGCATAGTAAATTATTACTTGATTTTGTGTCTACCCTCATTTCCTAGCACAAGTCCTCACTATATAGCAGCCACCTGCTACAGTTTGGGTATGGTTTGTCCTCCAAGGGTTCATGTGTTAGAAGCTTGATTCCCACAGTGGTGATGTTGGGAGTTGAGCAGTTCTTCAGTCATTGGAGGAGCTGCCCTCCTGAGGGATTAAGATAACCTTTGGGAGACCCTTGAGATTTTCTGAGAGCAAGTTCTTAAAGAGTGAGCCCCCCCTGAATTGCAGCTTCCTGTTTTAAGGAGTGATTTTTTTCTCTCTCACACATGCCCCTGCCATTGTGATATTGTTCTCCACCTTACCAAAGCTGTCTTTGATGGATATAGCCACACAGTCTTGGAATTTGAACCTTCAGAACTATGAACTAAATAAACCTCTTTTTTTCATGAAATTAACCAACTCAGGTATTTCCTTATAGTAATAAAACAGACTAATATATCACTTAATAGAAGTTACTGGAATTAATTCATTTTCCCTTCATTCAATAAATATTTATTGAGAACCATAATATTCCAGGCACTAGAAAGACAGCAATAAGCCAAAGAAAGAAATCCCTGCCCTGTAAGTTCTGTAGAAGGGGGCAGACAGTAAACCAAAAGCATATACTATGCCAGATGGTGGTCAATGCTGTGAGCAAAATTAGAGTAGAGGCAGGGGTAGGGTGGCAAAGGAGAGAATGCTAAGGTTAGCGAAGGGGTGGTCATGGAATTCTTTTGTAAGTGATATTTGAACAGAGACCTTGAAGGAGGTTAAGCGAGAAAGCCATGGAAGTTTGTAGAAAAATCGTTTCTGGGCTGAAAGAACAGTAAATGCAAGGACCTGAGATAAGAAAACACTTGGCATGTTTAAGAAATTCCATGGAAGTCTATGTAGCTGAAGTAGTACAAGCCAGGAGAACAGTAAAAACAAAGTCAAAGAAGTAGCAGGAAATGAGTGTATGTCACCTCATAAGGGAGTTAATGGGGACCTTACCTTCTACTATGAGAGAGATGGGAAGTCATGGAAACTGGAGCACTCTGAGGAGTGACATGACCTGACTTTGAAAAGATGATCCTAGTAGAAGTAGCAGGATAGAAGCAGGGACCACTTAGAGGCTATGATATTCGTCCAGGTGAGAAGTGTTGGTAGCTTGGACTTACTTGGTAGTGAAAAGTTGTTGGATTATGGGTGTGTTTCAGAAATAGAGCCAACATAATTTGCTAGTAGATGGATATGGGGAATGAAAAAGGAGTGAAGGATATTTTCAAGGTTTTCGTACTTAGCAATTGGAAGAATGAATTTTAATTAACAGTTAATGAGATGGAAAACTGTATGAGGAGCTTTGGTGGGAGCATCAAGAGTCCCATTTAGGACATGCTAAATTTGAGGAGTCTATAAAAATCTGGAGGTCATAGCAGAGTGGAATTAGTGTTTACCAAGGGCTTGGGGATAGTACGGATTTTACAGAATATAACATCTACCCATGATTGACTGTGACATATTACATGAGGTCAATATTCCTGTCATATGTGGAATTTTCCATTTGTGGCTTCTCTTAATGCTCAACAAGTTTTGGATTTGAGAGCACGTCAGATTCTCTGGTTAGGGATTTTATATCTATTCAATGGGCATAATAAAATTTCAGTTACATAAAATGAGTAAGTTCTAGAAACCTGTTGTACAATATTGTACGGATAGTTAACAATACTGGATTATTTGCACACAAATTTGCCACCAGTGTTTAAAAAAAAAAAAGAAAGAAAGAAATGCAGAATTATAGGTCCCACCAAGATTTACTGAATCAGAATCTGCATTTTAACAACATCCATAGTTATTTGGAATGTACATTGCAGACTGAAATGCACTAGCATAAAGGTTAGAGGGATGTCTTCATGACACCGATTTGCTCTGTAATCAGTCTGTAAAGAAGGTGGTTGCAGCATATTAAATATTGTATTATGTTGAATATTCTCTGTCATTGTGGATGTAATCTTAAAAATGAAAGTTAATTTTAATATAATTTGTCCTTACATTTATCTATTACTTTCCATAGCACTTTGTAAAATCCTATAATACATTTCTATTCAGTGATTTTAAAAAACCTTGAAGTCAGGAAGAAATCAACATGCCAACATAAATTCAAGAGTCATGAGGAGGTAGAGATTGTGTAAAACTATTAAATTGGATGAGACCACCAACAGTGTGAGCGAATATAACAATGAAGAGTTGCTCAAGAACTCAACCCTTGAATATTCCAAGATTTACAAGACAGGAAGAGAGAAGAGAATTGACAGAAAAGGGCTCAGACAAAGTAGCTTCTCTCATAGGACAGCCAGAGAGAAGTATTTGGGTGGACGTTTGGGTGAGTGAGCAAACAAAGGAACAGACAAAGTAGGCAAGTGACACTAACCCTTTGAGGATAGATCTATAAAATAGGGATGAGGGTCCTGTTGTTACTTCTTTGCAGAGTTACTGCAAGGATTATAAATAATGTGCGTATACCTCTATTACCACAACTAACACATAGAAAGTGCCCAGATTATCTCTCACCAAAAATGTTTGAAATTAGGTTGATTTTGAAATATTTGCATATAAACATAATGAGATATTTTGGCAGTGGGACCCAAGTCCAAACAGGAAATTTATTTATGTTTTTTATGTACCTTATACTCATAGTCTGAAGGATTATTTATTTTGTTACGTTTGTTTTTTGCTTTTGTTATGGGGGATTGAACCCAGGAGTGCTCTACCACTGGGCTACATCCCCATCCCTTTTTAAAAGTTTTTTTATTTTGAGACAGGGTCTCACTAAGTTGCCCAGGCTGGCCTCAAACTTGCAATCCCACTGCCTCAGCCTCCCGAGTAGCTAGGATTACAGGTGTGCCCTATCACACCCAGCCTGAAGGTAATTTTATACAATGTTTTATCTACCCATGATTGACTATGATCTGTCACATGAAGTCAATTTTCCTGTCATAGGTGGAATTTTCCATTTGTTGCATCCTCTTAGTGCTCAACAAGTTTTGGATTTAGAAGCACTTCAGATTTTCTTATTAGGGAAGCTTAACCCATAATAGCCAGTTTTTTATTATAAACATCAAGAAAGCATAAGTGTAGTTTTTTAGTGAATGCTTCAGACTTAAAATAATGAAGAAATCAATATGACTCTGGATATTAAGGAAATTTCTGTGGACAAAGGAGAAACTTGAATCGGACTTTGAAATGGATTTTGATAGGGGCAAGAAACAGCATTCCAGGTGCTGAGATGAGTAAAAGTTTGGAAATGCTTTTAGGAGACCCTGGTGATATAGCAGAGATGCTGCTGTTCAAATGAAGCCTCATTACAGGCGTCAAATTATTTGAAGTTTGTTTTATTTTTGTTGTTTAATTTTATTTGGAAGCTAACATATATTTGTTTATTTTTTCACTCTTATAAAATTAAGCCCAGTAAATATTGCAAGACCGACCAATTGCAAGACCAATCATCCTCAAAGACTCAGGTACCCTCAGTTGATGATGGTTTTTTCATTTGTGCCATCAGGTTTTACCACCATTGAGGGATGTGACAAATCGACCTGAAGTTGGCTCAACTGTGAGAAATAAGCTGGTGCGCCTCATGACACATGTTGACCTTGGAGTCAAGCAAATTGCTGCTGAATTCCTTTTTGTCCTTTGCAAAGAGAGAGGTAGGTTAAACTCTCTTTGCCTCCTGCTTTTTATCTTTTGGAGGGAACTTGAGAAATTTTCCTGTTGGTAGTAGCCATCTTTTTCCACCCTGACCAGAGCTTACTATCTAACATATTAGAGGGGCCGCGAGAAGATTATATAAATAAACAATTTTAAAACATTTTAGAAACTGGGCATGGTAGCACACACCCGTAATCCCAGTTACTTGAGATGCTGAGGCAGGAGAATAACAAGTTAGTGAGACCCTATCTCAAAATAAAAAGGGCTTGGGGGTAGCTCAGTAATAAAGTGAATCTGGGTTTAATCCCCAGTACCAAAAAACAAAAAATTAAAAAGCATTTTATATGCTTCTGAATTCATTAAGACACACCCAGACAGATACATTGCCAAGCACATATGTTTATACTTTCTGTATCTTTAACGCAAACTTCTTAATCTTGATGGGGCAGGACCTGGAGCCATTATGAAAAGTCTGTATAATAATTCAGGTGCTACATCATGTTCAACCACAAGAATGGGATCCTAGTTAGAATAAGTTATACTCTATGTATGCATAATATGTCAAAATATACTCTATAGTCCTGTATATCTAAAAAGAACAATTAAAAAAAAAAAAAGAGGTTTAGGGAGGAGAAAATTGGAGTTCCCAGAAAATTTCAGCTAATTTCAATATTCTGTATTAATTTGGGTTCTTTAAATAAAGGATCTCAGATACTCACATGTATTTCTTTCTTCTAGTTTATAAATATCCTAATATAAAATCCCACATAAGCATATTTTTTATTCCATTTTTTTGAAAGACTCAAGTTTTATGAGATAGATAATTTGAAGATGAAAAAGTTTACTTCTCGGGGCTAGGGTTGTGGCTCAGTGGTAGAGTGCTTGCCTGGCACACGTGAGGCACTGGGTTCGATCCTCAGCACCACATAAAAATAAAATAAAGATATCGTGTCCACCTACAACTAAAAAATATATATTTTTAAAAAGTGCACTTCTCTAAAACTCTTAAGTCAACTGCATTTCTCAACTTTATTTCTAACATTGATCTGAATACTTAAGTTCCTGTTCAGATATGTACTAGCAACATGATTTGATCGTTATCCTAATGGTAATAAGCATAGCTCTTATGAAGTAGAGGTATCATGTGCCTGACATTCTATGCATAAGTCATGTTATTTTCAAAAGAACCCTCTAAGGTTAATATTATTTCAGTTTCTTCTGCTCTTTTGAACAATTTTCTTCCTTGATGGCTTTGAAAAAAGATTGAATTATTATCTTGGAACAAAGTGGTTATCATAATGTCTTGTATATACAAGTTTTCTATAAGTATTGACTAAATTGAATCAATTTTTCTGAGATCAAAAATCTGTTTTTTAAGTATGTGTATGTACATAAATCTAAAGCACTTGTGTATGTACCTGTTAATTGAAAAAGGTTTGTCAAAGTCAGACCTGGTGGTGCATGCCTATAATCAATATGATTGAGGAACCTGAGGCAGGGAACACAAGTTCAAAGCCAGCCTGGGCAAAATAGTGAGACCCTGTCTCAAAATAAAAAAGGGCTGGGGAATGTAGCTCAGGGGTAGAGTGTCCCTAGTTCCAATCCCCAGTGCCACAATAAAAATAAATAATAAGGTTTGTCAAGATATTATAATTAATATGATGTGATAATATTTTATTATTGATATTGTTACCTCTGAGTAGTAAGATTACTGGTGGGTTTTTTCTTTTTTAGTTCTCTGTATTATAATTTTTCTACAAGGAACATGTATCCCTTATATACTTTATAAAAAAAATTTTTTAAAGGCTAAAATGAAGTGTGTTTCTCCTACAATTATTATGTCTAAATATTGCATTAACTAAATGCATAACTAAATATATATATAACTATAATCACCTTACTGATGAGTTAGTGTTGTAGCACATGTGGTATATTCATTTATTATAAATTTTTCTTCCATTTGAAATGGTTGGCTTTATTCCCTTATGGACCCAGTATTTTGTAGTTGTGACTTTGAGCCCAAAAGCAAATCCACATTAGCACAGGTGTATAGATGTATTATTTTGGAATAAAAATCCAATCATTCAAAAATATTTTTTGAGCTAAACCATGGGATTTTTGAGATACATAAGATAAACGGGTCTCTGCCCTAAGGAGTCACAGACTCAAATGCCTATAGCAGCTAGGCTAGTGATAAAAGTAAACCAGTTGGGAGCTGGGGCTGTAGCTCAGTGACAGAGCGCTTGCCTCTCATGTGTGAGGCATTGAGTGCAAACCTCAGCACCACATAAAAATAAACAAATAAAATAAAGGCATTCTGTCCATCTGTCTATCTACAATTACAAAAAAAAATTAAAAAAGAAAAAAGTTAACCAGGTAGACTAGTAGATATAAGATGATGAATAAAAACTGATACTTTCCAGCAACTCACTATTGGAGAGACAGTGGGGACACTAGGGGGTTGGAAAAGGGATGTTGCAGTTCAACTTCAACTTAACTGTTACCATGAACAATCAGATGTGTTACCAGATCTTCCAAGTTTTTCAAGAGAAACTAGAACACTGGATTGTTACATAAAATCTGTTTCTAAATGTCAGCTAATTCAAATGTAAAACTTTGGGCCAAAAAAAGAAAAAAAGAAAGAGTCTACCTTCAATTTAAATCATCAGATTTTTGGAAGTTGGGTTTGGAGAGACTATCAAAATGAAATAGATTTCAAATAATTTGTCAGAGTAACTGAGCTTTCCTCTTTAGGATAGGCATAGCTAAGTTTGAAAGTGAAGGAAGGTACTTTGATCAATGCTCAAAGCTCAGACGGCAAGGTAGAGACTGTAAGCAGTAAGCAAATTGGGTTAGGAACACAGAGAATAGAAGTAAAGAAGGAAATTAAAATAAGATGAGATACAGCATGCAAAATCTCATGGAAGATTAGGCACAAAAGGAACCTTCCAGGTGTCTTAAATACTCATCTGTGCCAGGCAAAGTGGCATCTCCAGCTGATAGTGGCCAAAAGGCTAACTTTGTGCTTGTGCCACCAATTTGTTCTGTTAACCCTGCCATAACTAAACTTTTAGGATCACTCTGCAAATTGGGTTCTTTCTACAGGGAACCTAAAGATAGACTTTATGTAGTTTAATCAAAAGAAAATAATTTGTGAAAATAGTCTCCTACTTTGGTGGGGTTCTCCCCCCGCCCCTTTAACGTATTTGCTCAGAGATTAGACTTCAACTCCTTCAGCATGTAGCCCCCCACACTTACAAATTTACTTTAATCTCCACTTAAGTCTCAGAGGAATAGGTGTCTAGCTTGGAGCTAAACATTCTCTCTTCCTGTTGATCTTTTCTCTTCCTGTCTTTGCAGAAGCTTTGCTTCATCAGTTTTTACTCTATATTTTTTTTCTTTATTCTCCCCATGTGCTTTCCTCAAACTATATACATACATATCATTGTCCTTCAGATTTTGGCATCTTGTAAGACTTATCTGTTTTTCTTTTCAATTTCCTTACTCAGTCTTCAACTTGGTAAAAGCCAGCAATTTCTAAGGTCATCTTTATATCTGCCTATAACGCTTCAACAGTTGACAGTGCTGACAACTTGTATTGTTTCTGTGCTACCACACACTTCTAGATTATCTATTGACCCCCCCCCCATTTCTTTTCTTTTCTTTTTTTCAGTCTCTCTTGCTGATTCCTGTCTTTTCCATATTTAATTCCCAGTGCTGTCTACAGTCATCTTCTGGTCTCATTCTCACTTTATTTTGCTCCCTGAGTAATCTCATTCTCTCCTTGGCTTTTGCTTCAGCCTTTTTGCTGAGTAGCTTCCCAAATCTCTATCTCTAGCCCCAATCTTTTTCTTGAACCTGTCATGTTTATCTACCTGCTCATTGATATCTGCACTTGAGTTTCTCACAGGTGACTTCAACTAATGTCTAAAGTTGAGTTCATTATCTCCATTACCATTCTCCCCAACATTTTCTTTATCCTTTGGTCAATTTTTCTGGGAAAGTCACATTTTCTATTTAATCGCTAAAGGCAAAAGGCCAGGATTACCCCAAATTTCTTCTTTACCTGCAGATTAATAATCACATCATATATATTTTACCTCCTAAATACCTCGTTTATTTATTCCCCTTCTTTCTGTTCCCACACCGTTACCTTGGTACAGGCCCTTAAAATTATTTTCTTAAACTATTTAAGTAAATCTGTTTCTAGTCAGGTTTTCTTCATTTTATCTTTTACATAGCTAACAGAGGGACTGATATAATCAACAGATATAATCTTGTCATTCCCTCATGTAAAACTTTAAATGATTTCCTGTCACCGGCATAGTAAAATCCAAATCATGGTTTACCTATATAGTGTATTTTACAGCTGTTTCTGCTTAATCATACTAAATGCCTTATTTATTCATGGGATGCCTTCCCATTTTTGTTATCATGAGGTGAACTTTATCATGGGGTGTCCTTGAAGATCAGCTTGAGCCTCATCTCTGAAGACTTCTCTGACCATCACAAGCAAAGTAAAACATTCTTTCCTTTATGGCAGTTTTATTTATTTCTGTTTTTAAAACTTTTGACATTTGCCATGTTGTCACTCTTTATTGGTTGAGCTTGAATTCTAGACATTAAGTCTCTTTAAGCTAGAGATCATGTTGTACTCATCTCTGGATCCCCCCCATGCTTAACAAAGAACCTTACAGAAAGTGAATGCCCCATAAATGTTTAATAAAAGAGCAGTATTTGTGCTCTCTATAAATCCAGTCTAGAACGTATGCCATCTTGTGTATTTCTCCATATAAAAAAAATAATAATTTCATTATACTGTAGTAAGTTCCCTAAGAGAGAAATGTGCCAGGTAACATGGTAGCCTGACTGAAGGAATGATTAGGGAGTGTGAAAGTCAGAGAGTGTCTTTGCAAAAGAATACAAAGAAAGGGAAAATAACTAGTAGATTCCGGGAGGTGGGGGACTAGTTCAAGATGTGAGAAGTCTACAGTATACGAGATTAATTTGGAAAAGAGGCAAAGGCCACCAAATGAAGAGCCCTTTAGACCCTGTTTTGGAATTTGAGTTTAGCCCGTAATGGAAGGAATCATGTTTTACAAAGATGTCTTGAGCAGTTATGTGGAATAAGGAATAGAGAAATGCGACTCTGGAATAAGGACACTAGGTAGAGAAAACTACTAGTATGGATATCTAAAAGTTGCAGTATTTGACCAGAAAGAAAAACATCTATACAGAGAAAGGAGAATGGTATCTGGGGAGATTGGTTTTGCCACTCTTTTCTTCTTGACTACCTATGTAGCTCTCACTGTGCTGCCCTGGTTGCTCGCCTCTGTTCGTAAAGTACCCTCTAGCATCCTGGTAAAAGAGTAGTGAAATGCTACTTGAAATTTTCTGCCAAAATGCTGAATTATTTCATTTCGGTAACATTTTTATATAACTATATGGATAATTATTATGACAAAGAATAAATTGTGTGTGTGTGTGTAAGAGAGTACATTTAGGACCACCAGAAAATCTTTTCTTTGTCTTAGCAGCTTACCTTAATATCCAAGGTCAGTCATTTTTCCTTTTCTACTTTCCCAATATCAAATAGGATATTTTATAGTTTATTCAAAAATAGACTAAAAAATAACGTCAAACATTCCATCAGTGCTTCTCATTGAGAATTTTGCATTCCATTTTTCTCCCTCTCACCCCCACTTTCAAATATTTTATCTCTTTAATAAAAGTTCATTTGCCTTTTAAACTATTGGCTGCGGCCTTAACTGTTTTGAAGGCAAAGTGTGTCTTAAATCATCTTTGTAACCCACACTGCCTGTCACAGAGTTGGCACATGTTTGCTCCAGTGAAAGAACGATAAATATTTTCACTAAAATATCAGGCATTTTTACTATTAACTGGCTTTCAGAAGGATTTTCTGTATAAAAAAGCAGTTATTTGGAATTATATTTACTTTTGTTTAGTCTATTTGGACTTTCATCATGTTTGTGTTCTTAAACTATTTTAATCTTTAGTTAAATGCTTTGTGTCATTTTAAATTGCTGTTAGTTTTTAAGTATTTCATTTAAACCATTTATTCGTGTTGCCACAATTTAGACTTTAATGATTTCAGTGAATATTATTTTTATGGAAGCATTAAATATCCTTATTTATTTAAATAATAATAAGCCTGGGGGGAAAAATAGTAAGATTGTGGCTGGAGTGTAGCTCAGTGATAGAGCATGTGTTTAACATACACACAGCCTTGGGATCAGCACAAAAAAGTAAAAATGAAAATAAGCCTTATCAGCAATGCTTGCAGTGAGAGCATCAGTGCTATGTTGGTTTAAATCTGTGATCTAATCATCAATGGCTTTGTATCTGAACATGCATTAAGTTCATGTCTGACCTCCAAGAATATTAAAAATACCTATATACACTGAATTTTGATTTCTTCCCCTAGTTTACTGATTCACTAATTTATCTAACTCACTTTATCTTGGGGACCCACTGGTCACAAGATGGGGCATATCAGATTTATTCAGAGGGCTTTCAGGTTACATGATGCCTCTTTAAATTCTAATGTAATCCTATCCAGCATCCACTGAGAGTCATTGGGTGTTTTTTTGTTTGGGTTTTTTTGGGGGGCGGGGGGTGTTCCTGAAATAATTCTTTTACCCAGTATTACTAGAGAAAAAGAATGAATTTAACCAGATGCTTTTCTAAATTCCTTGCAGGTATTAACTTGTAGAGTAGATGGTTATTATTTCATTCCTACAGATTTGAAAAGTGGGTTGGTTGCAGGATCTCTTACCCAAGATCAACTAAGTGGTAGAGTCCTAATTGGAACCTTGTCTATCTAGCTCTGGACCTATCTTCTCATTGGGCTTCTTGTGTTTACATATTGTTGCTTTTTTTTTTTAGAGTAGTATATTAATTTTTAGACTAACTTATTTACTAATATCCTTAATTTTCTTATTTCTTACACCTTTTACCTCCTATTCTTACAAAGAATACATTACATACCATTGGTAAAATCCAAATTTGACCTTTATTATTTCTAGTTTCTTATGATTTCTCTTAAACTGAATTTTAGAAATGTAAGATTTAAGATCAGAAACTTTATTATTGCAGCATGATCCTTACCAGTGACCTAGCAGTCACAGAGGCCCCACTTCTGCCAAAAGTATGTTTGGATCAGCTGTTAAGTTTCTTTTTCTGAAAAAAAAGGCTCTTAGTCCTCAAAACATATAAAACAATTTGTTGAAAGTTCGGCATAACCACTTCCACACACCCCCTCCCTACATTGGGTGTGAGTGGTTGATGATGATGGTAAGCACCCATAAACTCCTGTCTAAAACCCTGTTCTGTTTTGCAGTGGATAGCCTGCTGAAATATACTGGCTATGGGAATGCTGCAGGACTGTTGGCGGCCAGGGGCCTCTTGGCTGGAGGAAGAGGAGATAATTGGTACTCAGAGGACGAGGATACAGACACTGAAGAATACAAAAATGCAAAACCAAAGTATAGTATCAAGTTTCTTTTCACCTAACTATTGCTGTGCCTATCAGTTGGTTATTTGCCTTTCACTTCCTTTGTCTTTCATTTTCCAGTGTTTCTTTTCTCTTGTGGATTTGGAAGCTTTCCTTTTAATGGTGTTTTTTGAGGCAGTTTTATAGCGAGTGCCTTAGAGAATGACTTTAAGTGATTGAGGAAGGATAATATTGCAAGAAATGTTCAGTTGCATGATGTTTTCAACATGTTCATTATCTTCTCTCAAGTACTAAGAAAGCTGGTGATTTTAGAAGTCTATCATCTACTAAAAACATTACTGCTTACTATTTTCCTTCTTTTCCATAAGAGATTTTGTATGTTCTAACCAAGACCAAATTTAACTTGGTTATTTGATATTTCGGTCTTTCTTAGAACTCTAAATGTTAAGTTTCATACATTATGATCAACTCCCTTACATAAAAACTCTTACAAGTCAAAAAATAATGCAACAAAGGAAGAAGTCTGGCTCCACATTGAATTCTAATCAAACATACACTTATGGATCATTTTTTAACAAGTTAAGTCAGTGCACTAAAAAGGCAAATCTGAGACTATGAAGTCAGAGTCAGTGCTTACAAATTAAAATCACTAATTCTCTGCCCTGCCAAACTCCAAGACAAACCACCTATCATTCCTTCTGCTCTCTCCCCATCCTTTTCATTCCCCGTCAACCTCCATCTCAAGTAAATTTCTTAGTTTCTATTCATTAGTAATTATTTGAACAGTTTTTGCTGGATTCCATTACAAAACATTAAAAAGGTATTCTCTTCCCTTTTGGCATTATCAGTAATGTTGAGGTGCTCTGTTTTCTATTGATAGTCTTCTGTAGTATGAAGTGATCAAGGATAGACAATCATAATCTGAAAATTTGGTTTTAGGGGAGTTGTTTTGGTTTTGGGTTTTTTTTTTTTAATGTACAAATTATGCCCTGTTGACATAAAAGTAATATAGTTTCAGAAGAGGAAAGAAATGACTGGTCCCCAATAAGATAAATGGCCTATTTCTTGGCAAAATAGGTCTGAGTAGGTAGTGTTGGTTTCAGCATTCCTAGTGCTATCTATTAGACTCTTTAGGATCTTATAGAATGTGTCTTAGGAAAAAAAAGCTTTTTGGACAAGGGAAGCTAGCAGTGACTGTAAACAGTACGTTCTTAAGACTACCACTATTTAGATGTTATAGATTGGGCATTTCTGTCAAGTACTACAAATTCAAATAGAGAAATCATATTCTTTCTTTCTCTAAGTCATCATGCTAAGTTAGTCTTATTAGCTCTTGGTTTTCCCATTCCATTAATTGTTTTTCCATATTAATTTATATCTCTTCATTTGACATGTAAAAATACCCTACTTGAAAAGTCTCACTTTCATGACCCCCACTGCCATTTTTTTTTTCTGAGATGAGGGTCTTACTGTAAGAACAAACTCAAACCCATGAGTCCCAGCAATCCTTTTGCCTCAGCCTCCTGAGTATCTGAGATTATAGGTGTATGCCACCACATCCATCTAAACATCTCATTTTAAAATGAAGGTGGAGATTACATTAGGCATTCATTGATTCCCAGGGAATATGGACAGTCAATTAAGGCAGAAAACTCAAGAGGTACTCATGGATGGCTCATATTTTTGCATCTCAGTATATATTATCCATTTTATTTGGTGGATGTCTTTTATAATGCTCATGGTCATATGCTTAGCAATACCAGAATGCTACTGTAATAAGAAGGAGCTCAGAGAGAATACAGGAACACTGGGGTCTCTCCTAAGAGTATAGGAAATAGAATTGTTACATAGAGGATTTCATTAGAGCACATTTGTTTAAATCAGTAACTGTGGTGTTTGATATTGTTAATGTTTTGGCTATGTCACAAGAAGACTCTATACTTGAGCTTTACATCTTAACTGAAATCATTTTTAGCCTTTGAACTTGGCTTATGCGGTTCACAGGAGTAGTGTAATAGTATGATCAGAATGATCACCATTGTCAAATATTGTGTCTCTTAAATATTGATTATTACAAATATAAATGTTTTCCAAGTGGCATCATATCTTCTCCCTTAAGATAGATTTGCATCTGTTTTTCTCTTAAATCATTCTTCTTTAAGATGAAAAGTGTGGTGGGACCTTTAATGTGTTAATTCTTCAAATGGTCCTTGTAAAAGCGGTGGCAAACAGAGTACTTTGTAAGCAAGATGACTTTTGTACTCTAGGGAGCAGTCTACAGAGCTCAAAGAACTTGTTACAAAAACTTTTACTCATCTAGTCAAGCTTAAAAAGTCGGCATCTGAAAGGATTACTTATTCTCCTACCCCCTGATTACTCTTCACCAGTCAGAGTTCCCAAGATCTAGTTTGCTTTTCTTATGATGCATTTATTCACAACAGTTGCTAGTATTGGCAGAAGCAGAGAAATTATTCTTCATCCAGTTGGCCCTAGTCCTGTGGTCAAAAATGTAAGTGGATTCTGACTAATGCACCAAGGTAACCTGTAATCCTTTATTGGAATCTGAAACCCAGAATTGCATGGAGCTTACATTCAGGCTATGGGAGACAGCTAATATCACAGCAATTCTTTTTGTGTCAAAATAAATGTATTTAATGGACTGGAAATGACTTTCTGCAATTTGCACATTTAGACAAAATATACTCATAGAATTAAATTACGAGCCACGTAGGTTTTTGGTGTATGTCTATCCAGGTTTGTTAACGCTTTCCAATGAAGTTTGATCCTTTATCAAAGGGCAACCAAATGTCCAAATTCTAACTTTTATACCTATTTCTTCTATGTCTCTGTGCATGGAGACCCCTTAGCTGTATAGAAAAAATAAAAGCATGACATAACATTACCTTCTGGCTGACATGGTTTTACATCATTCTAAACATTAATTGAATGTGTGTTTAATGACATTTGGCTCATTTTAGAACAGTGGCTTTCAGACTAGGTACACAGGTGTCTGAGGTGTAAAGAGTCTTTATGGAAGACATACAGGCAAGAGGGTACATATCTCTGAACTGTAAAGAGATGTGTTTATTGAAGGAAAAGTGGGCAGACTCTTTAGGATACCTCAGATATTCAAACTCCACATTAGATCATACTTATATCCAAAGCTTAAAATCTTTTTACTGAGCAAATTTAGGGGCACTTCTTAACTATATTTATCACAGCTGTAGCTATGGAAGTAGCTATACAGATGGTTTCTTAAGCATAAGGCAAGATACTTTTTTTCCTTTTAATTGTCAAGATTTTGTTATGCTGCTTAAGTCAAGTTCTAATATAGTTGTCTCATTATATTTGGGCTACATAAATAATTTCTTTGTTTTTAGTTTTCTTGAAGTAAGTAAATCAAAAACCATGATTTTTCTCTTTGTCCAGTTTCAGTTTGGGTTGTGATGGTATAATTGATATATAATGGGATTTAATTAGCATCTCTAGGAACTGGGATTTATTTAACTGCAAGCATTCATGAAGCACATCTAAATTCAGATCACTGAAAGACCAGAGTTGAAAATGAAATTATGACTATTTCTGCCATGCACACCAGTTCTAAAAGTTTACCAGCCTTTGTGATTATTACAATAATATCAATTTTGTAATTTCAAATTTGAGCTGTTTTCTTTTGTATTATAATTTGGGTTAATGACCATCATTAACCAGATGTGTTAGCTGAACTACAATGCTGAATTTTGCTCCAGTTTTCATTTTCTGTAGATTCACAACCATCAGTTTTCTGCCCTTTATGGCAAGGATAGCACTCTTAATCAAATAGCCTAATAGAAAACATTTTTGAAGTACTATAATTTTTAAAAAAATTAAGTTGTAGATGGACACGATACCTTTATTTTATTTATTTGTATTAGTACTGAGGATCAAAACCAATACCTCACTTGCACTAGGCTGACGCTTTATCCTGAGCCACAACCCCAGCCTCATAAAGTACTATAATTTAAAAAGACATTTTGGAGCTTTTCTTTCTTGCATACATGCATTTAATATTCGTGTAAATGTATTCAGTATTTATGTTTGTGTGGCAGATACATGGTAAACATTTAATAAATATCTGATAATAAATATCTGACACCCATATTACCTAATTCTTTCCATTGCTAATCTAATGCAAAGACTTGGATTAGGATGTGGTTTCATAATTTATCCTACTTCTTTAATGTGGGATTAATGTGAACATTTATACACTAGTGCTCAAATTACTTGAGACATTTTGAAGAACTGGTTTATCTTCACAGTATCTTATATGTGAATTTAATTATATCAGACTCCACAAGAGCCCTAGTTGTTGTGTGTCGGGGTTTTTAGCCCCCCCCCGTCTCCTCCTGACCAGCAGGAGAAGCCGGGAAAGCACGCCCGGAACAGGACTGGCAGCCCGCACCTAGCCCTCCCTTGCCAGAGGACAATCAGGCACCAGGGAGACGGATCTCGTTTATAGAGGAAGTACACACAGCTTATATTACTGCACAGAAGCCAATCAGAATAAAGGTCAGAAGGGTGGAGCAGGTTCACGTGTACACCCATCCCATACTCCCTAAGGGAAGGCACAAGCTGTCCACGAGGGCAGCGGAAGAGGCCTGGACCTATCCTGTAGGTGGTCTGCCTTTTCTGTCACCACCCACAGCACCGCCTCCTGGCTGATCACCAGGAGCCATCCCAGCCACATGTGCGGCCCCAAGACCGGGAAGCGGGCAGCCATGCCCTACAGTTGTGTAGTTTCTTTAGTGAATAAAGATTATACGTATGTCTCCATAATGATAACTAAATAGAATAAATTACTTCCTGGATCATCTGAGGTCTCTGTTTCTTATTTCTCAGAAAGTGCCTCAGCTGTGCAAATAATAATAGCTGGTATTTATTGAGTGTTTAACTTGTGCCAAGCACTGTTCTAAGAACTTCACAAATATTATCTCATTTTAACAACTCTTTGCGGTAGGGTTATTCCCATTTTACAGGTGAGATCAGTGAAGT